GCAGAGGAAAAAAAAAAAACGGCATCCTGGTTGCCGAGTTCACGAAGTGAATGGGCTTGTTTTACAACGNTTTTGGGCGCGCGTGGGGGTTGTACTCATATTCGTGCATGCCGTAGTCGTTAGACCATTGACCTCGCATCCCTACAAAGCCGGGACGGAGCACGCCGGGTTCTCACCGGACCAGGCTCTCACATCACCAAGCGCGAAGCGCCGTGAGATATTCGGCGAGTCGCATGAAGGGTGCGCTGCATCCTGCTAAGGGTGTTCGGCATCTTGTGCTTACTTCCTTGCGTACGGATGACAGCTACGTATGACTTAATTTATTTTCTGGTGTTTTCACTTCCAGAGACCGTTGTAAGCACTGTGTAACTGCCTCGAGGATGCTTGACCATTTTCACACAACGTGGCGCGATCTTTTGGGCGCGGGGGGGGATAAAACGGAAAGCAATGTTTTGTTTTTTAATGTGACGGAATCATTTTCCTTTCGTGCCGTATTTTCATTATCACTTTTTTATGGGATGGACGGAATCCTTTTCTTGTCGGATTTGTTTGGGGGGCTGCATGCAATAGTTTATTTCTGATTTTTGATCGTGCCCTTTGGGGCACGGGAGCAGCAGCGGGGAGGAAGGCCAAGCGGGATATACAGGCCGAATTTTTGAAATACAGAGTGGGGGCCTCGCGGCCAAGCAGTACCATTGCGTTTCGGGTCACCGTACGGGAGGGGGTTACAAGCTGCCCTCCCCCCGACGAAGGACCACGGGTTGAATGAAGGATAAGAAGGAACGGTGTTGGTGACGGTTTCGTTTTATTCGGCCTTGTACGATTGGTAGAAATAGGGCGACCGCCCACAATCGCGTTCGGTATGCGGTACTTTCCTCGTGTTGTCCCTTGTCGGACCTCGACTACACAAAAGCGGCAAATTCATGATTTGAGGAGCCCCCCTCTCCTGCTCGCTATATTGCAACTTGGAGCTTGCATGGCATGCACAACCGGCTGGGGGCCGACATTTCATGAGCACAGGAACTGACGCGTTCTGTTCGGAAACGGGAGGGGGGGGGGCACCCTGCCCTCGGCAACGGCCCTGTCGCAGCAGCAGAACAGCGGCTGGATTTCGGATCATCTTCGCGAGAAATAAAGTTTGATGAGGAAAAACAGCAGGGGTTGGGGTACGCAGCCCCTATTTCCCTAACCCCAACTCTAAACCCAACTTCCCCGATTGCATTCTTTATCCAACATGTTCGCGAAATCGAAAAAACCCTGCGAAGGCTACTGTGAAATTTCGGGGCTTTTGCTGAGAGAGTTACAACGCGCAGAAATAGTCTTTCGGATGTGAGGAAGATTGTGGGCTAATACTGTCCCTGTGAGCGGGTGTGGCTATGGCAGCGGGTCTGGCTGTGCACAAACGAGCGGCAGACACCGGAGTGCTGCGATGACGTCGTCGACTTGGTGGGAAACAGAAGAACACTTACATCCTCTTGGCAACAGGGTTTGTGAACCAAAACACCGGGTGCCCCCGGCCGTACACCAGGTGGGCAGCCCGATTTCCTTCAGAACCAGAGAAAAAAAACATACAAAAACCATTCTTTATTGCTCCCCGCCAGGCAAAACGGCGACAAATCGACGAAAAACGAAACAACACACAGCGAAACAACACCAACACAAGCGTAGCAATCACACCGACAACACCCACCAGAAACAACAAACAGCAACAACTTCAGCAGCAGCGGCAGCAGTCGCAGCAGTTTCTTCGCGCACCTGGCGGCTGAACGGCCACGTGTAAGGGTCCGTGAGGTCCAACTGCGGCGGCAGGAGCGACGCCCTCGGCGTGTAGCGGCTGAGAAGCGCGAACGCCCCCGCCACGTCCAGAGCCCCCGCCCCCTGCTCGAACAAGCCTGCTTCCTTGACCCTGCGCGCCGACTCGGTCAGCACCTGACAATAATGAGCGTTCGTCCAAACGTTGTGCACGCGATGGGCGACACCGGTCTGCAGCTTTTTTCGGGTGCATAGCTTGTGGGTGAAAAAACAAAACAAAACATTATTTTCCAACGATCTAAGCATCGGGATGCTAGCTACAACCCGGATGGTCATCGTCATATCCGATCCTCGTTTGCTGCTGAGTTTGGTAGAAGGTCCGACACACAAATGGAGCTTTGGGTGGTGCCGAACATTGGAGGTCCATTCCGCCTGCATGTGGTGATTCTCAACGCTGTCGGTGGCTGAAAAGTTTCGATGTAGGATACAGAAGCTTCGGCGCACTCTGCCAAACCAAAGGACGTATCCTTCACGATAGACCTAAGGATAAGCAATAATGGTATTCGCATGCTGCCGATGGGCGCACACTATCTTTGGTGCTGCATACCCACCATCAGCGGTCCACGGCTGAGCCCCAGCGCTTCGAGAGTAGACAGCGTTGTGCGCATTGCAACTTGTTGGGTTCGTTGGAGAGAAAGCGCGGAAATTGTTGCAACCCATACAGTGGAGGAATCACAACTTTGGTGAAGAAGTAACCTGCTTGATGCTGGCGGGACTTGCGATGTCGCGCCTCCTGTCCGCCAACATAGAGAAAATCACAACTTGAACCCTGAGTAACCTGCTTGATGCTGGCGGGATTGACGATGTCGCGCCTCCTGTCCGGCGGGACCGTGCTGGCCAACAGGGCGGCCGCGCCGGCCACAACGGGACTAGCCACCGATGTCCCCGAGATCCCGCTGCCACGCACACACACAAAAAAATATATTGCCATGACGCGGGTTTTTGCGTAGATTACGTGGTGCAACATGTGCTTTGTATTCCGGGACCGCAGGGGTGGGTAGGGGGACTAGCCACCGATGTCCCAGGGAGTCCGCTGCCAGACCAAAAACAAACATAAAGGCCGTGCGCGACGACGAGGGTTAAGCGCACACTTACTGGGGAGAATACAATTGTACTTTCTATTCTGCTACCGCAGGCGGGGTGCGGCAGGGAGCCTTCAGGTAGAGGATCCCTTATGCGTGACCACAGATCGAGCACCTAGAGAACCCGGCAGAAACGCTGGGTGTGAGCGCTGATTATTGCAATAAATTAGCGGTGAACAGAACGAAAAAGAAGGCACCAGTCTAATACACAATGTTCCTACCTTTCGGGGGGTGTTTGGTGTGAGCGCTGACTGTTGATAGCGGTGAACAAAGCGACAACGAAGGCACCGGTCTATTGTAAAATACTCCTCTCTGTCGGGGGGTGTTTGGGGTGCTCGGCACAGTAATGATCTACGGGACCTCCGAGGGATACCGTACGTGACATGACATAAGACACCACATCCCCCGGACCGTTTCTCAACGCTCGACCATTGTCTACGACCAAGAGGATGCCGAAATCCAATGGCACGTTTTCGGAAAGATATCGACGAGACGGTGGCAATGCCACCTTTTTCGGCGCCGCAACATTTTCGATTGCTGTGGAATAATCGAGGTTCGAGAACCGGTCCAGGGGGTGTCGTCTCTTGCGTCACCTACGGTTATGTACATGATGTGTGTATGGCGGACATGATGCGCGCTAGGCCGGTCTTGCCTCCCCCGTGTATATCACCCGTTAATGATGCAACGTCTTGAGTCGACCTTCATTTTCTCTTGCGGCCTCTCTCTGACGAAGCTGCCGCACCCAAACAGGGAATGCTATGACGTTTTCAACGAAAAAACTTTTTTTGCTGTGGGACAGATGGACTTGTAAGAAAAAAAAAAAAAACGTATCTTAAAGGAAAACAAAAATCCATGCGCAAACAGTCCACAGTCTACAGCAGCGTAGCAACGCTTGAAGGGCAATTAAAAGTCCATACGCAATCCGTCTACAGCACGAAGCAACGCTTGCAGGAAAAAAAAAATCCATACCCAACCAGTCTACAGCAGCGCAGTCACGCCATTAGGAAAACGAAATAAAAACAATACGCAACGAGTCGACGGCAGCGTAGCAACGCGTGAAGGGACAAAAAACAAAACAAAGAACTCCAGCGAGAAAACAGTCTACGACAGAAGCCGGGCAAAACACCTGCACTGTCCCAACGAACCGCCCGCCTTAGGGCCAAGGACGAACTGTCCGACGGCCACGAGGTCCGGCTTCACGCGTCCGTATCCTCCCGGTAGCTCCCACGTGGTCATCCCTGCGACGGTGAATGGACGTAAAATACAGATTCTTGGTATATACCAAATTCTTTGTTTGGGTTCGGTGAGATTCGCAGGGCTGTTCGAGTCGAAAACACGCCAGCTGTGTGAGTTTTGGGAGTCATCACGCCGCGGCTGCAGCCAGCTGTGACCCACGCAGGTCGGGATATCTGATGGAGTCCGAAGTTTGGGGGGCTCGCTGTTGTGTATACAAGCCCGTAGTGATTTGAATGCACTCGCTGGCATGGGTATCGTGCAGAGGGTCTTGTAAGCAGAGGGATCGGAGCGGTGCAACGTACCTCCCTTTCGACATGGGTGCCATCTATCGGTCCCGCTGTCGATTGAACACGTCCGTATACTTGCAAACTCAAAAAATGTTTGGACCCGGCTGGAATTCCAACAACGTGGTATAAAGATCACACCACAAAACAAAAGTGCGACAACAACACAGCCAGCAGGAAGAGAGTCACGACTGTACGCCGTGATACCACTCTGGCGTACCTCTCGATTGGAAGCTCGCGACCGCCCGCCCGCTGGCCGACACAGCCCCGACTCCGATTGTGTCCATTTGATCCGCCGGGTTGTGCTGTCCAAGTCACGATCCGGCGCAATAAAAAAAAAAACTACATATCTTAGACTCTTTCTTAAATAGAGAGATGGATTCGTTGTGTTTTATATTGAGAAAATATGACAGCAAGGAGGACACGCGCGCAGGGGTTGCTGTGTCTTCGATGGCGGAAAAAAACAATAAAAAAATAAAGCGTTTTGGGAACCCTGCCCGGCAACTTGCCTCTTTAGATCTTGGGCGTTTCACCTCGAACCGACACGGGGAGGGGGCGGGTGAGATTATTTCATTGCTCAGTAGGAAGAAAGGGAAGCTGCCGCTGTCTCTTGTCCGAGACTCTGCCACACGGATTTTTTCTACGGTAAATTAGCCAGCGAGGAACCAATCAACTTGAATAGTAGTTCGAGCATGCGAGGGTAAATCGTAGTTGGACTCCGGAGGTCGGCACTAGGTGGCGAATTGATCGGCGCGGCAAACGCGAGCTCCAAACGCTAAAGGGTGTTGTCGTAGACGAGAACAAACTAAATAGCGGTTACCGAAACGGAGAGAGATCCGTGATTGTTCATTGTCATTTACTCTACGTAGCAAGGTATTGGTTGGTCGGTGGACAAACCTGCGTCCCGTAGAGAGGCCCGTCGTTCCCCACCGCCGACAACGGCAATGCTTATCGGAACAACTCGAATCGCCATTACGGTCTTATTGGGATGCGCGGGAAGGCACTACCGTGCTTTGCAACTTTTCGGTTGGACGGTCGGTGGACAAACCTGAGTCCCGTAGAGAGGCCCGTCGTTCCCCACCGCCGAAAACACCACAACGCCGTTGGCAGACAGCTCTCGCACCTATAAACGTCTCCGGCGGTATCATCATGCAGCAACAGGGGGAAAGCACGCACGGCGGCGGACCTCGTTGAGTACACGGCCGGAAAGATGGCACCGCGGAGGATCGGGGAGCGTCTCCTAAAAGTAGCGGAATTTTTGGTGGTGGGAAAAACTTTTTTGGGAAAGGTTCTTAAGAACGTTCGCCAAGGATGTTGAGCAGGGTTCCGGCGGGTACACCCAGTGATGGAGAAATGAACAAATAATGTAACTCTGCTGTTCGGCCTAGCGCTCGCTGTTCTTCTCGTCCGGGTGGCTTTTCTTTCGAGCCTCCTGCACAAAAACAGACACCAGGAATGTGCTTCGGCACAAAAAGGGCAGGATCAAGCGAACTCGGAACGAACCGTCCTCGCGAACTTGCACGATCGCGCGGGGGGGCATCCATCCGCAGCTACGATTTTGTGTTGCCGGGGTCCCGCTATGACGCCGGTGACGTAGGCTACATAGGACACAGTCGCCAAAGAAAGCGCCCGCGCTTACGACGAAATTGTCAAGTCAAGAGATTGATACCATAGAGCCTCGAAAAGCTCCAAATCCAAGAACTTGAGCACCTACCATAAACCCTATACAGTGACCATTCGTAGCATGAACCTAGGATCTCATACGCCAAGCCGTGCCAAAACTACAAAACTCTGTGTGCGCGGGCGCTTTCTGTGCTGCTGCACTACTGAACCCCCACTGATGAACTGCGGGGCCCCCACTGCTGTACCTTGTCCACGAAGGGCTGATCCTTGAAGTCCGGACCACCGATGCTCAGGTTGATTATATCGACGCCGAGGAAGAGCGCGTAGTTGAACGCGTCTAGGAACCAGGAGGTGTACGAGACCTTTTTCAGTAAAAATCGCAACCAGACAATGCGAAAAGCAAAACATCAAAAATGACAAATGTTTACCGAGCGTCCGCAACGAATCAGAACAAAAAGCCGAAGCGAATGCGTGCAAAAAGTAAAAAAAGTCCAAGTCGTTTTGGAGGAAACCGGAAGTGTTCGATATATTTCTTCGTATATCACAACCAGAGAATTGAGAAAAGAAAAAGGAAAAGACGCATCTTACATGTTTACCGAGCGTCCGTAACGTAGTAGCGCAAGGAAATGGCGAAGCTGAACGTGTGTAGAAAACACCAAAAAGCGCGCTTCATACTGAAAACAAGAACTACTACAAAGAGGGTTTTGTAAAACACGATTGAAACAAGGCACGTGCAACCATTCGGGAGTACCAGAGTAAAAAAGGAGCAGCATGGAAGAAAAGAAGTCACGTGTGAACGGCTCCCTCTCGAGAAAGAACAGGACACGGCAAAAAACGATTCACTGCAGGACATCGCAAGAGCACCCGGCGCTCTTATTACGGTTTACCATTTGCCAGTGCCGTCCACGGGAGTACAATAATATCTACTTATCGACCAATTCGTCAATCAACAGTGCAAGAGAGGAACAAGGCCTCTCTCGGTTTGACCTTATCACGGTTTAGAGCATAGCACACCCGGAGAAGTCGCTTGACGCAGAACAAGACGCCAAGCACAAGGTAGAACATGCGACGTGGGCAGCTTCTTCCCAAAAAGAGCATGGCACCAAAATGACCGCCACGTGCGAAGATGCCTCAATTCAACACCGCAACACAGCAGGCGGAAAAAATGACAAACTAAATGAAGTTCTTCTTTGGGCGGAAAACATGACGAACTAAATGAAGTTCTTCTTTGGGCGGAAAACATGACGAATTAAATGAAGTTCTTCTTCGGACGGAAAACATGGCGAATTAAATGAAGTTCTTCTTCGGGCGGAAAACATGACGAATTAAATCAAGTTCTTCTTCGGGCGAACCGCATCGTCACACCTGCTGGCCGGAAAACACTCGAAAAATGTACAGGTCAGCGTCGGGTGCGAATCCGGAGCACCCTTGATCCCTCCCACCAATAACGCCTGCGTGAGAACGGGGGGGGGGGGGGGGGGNGGGGGGGGGGGGGGCGTGTGCGGATGTTTTCGTCGTATAAGGTGATCACGGATCTATGTTGCTCGCGAGTGAGTGCTGCTGTTCCCTCCAAATTGGAAAATTCGTGTGGCCGAGATGCGTGATGGAGATGCATGCGTTGATGAGCACGACACGCCTAACTCTCTATCTTCAAGCCGCTACGATCAGACCATGAAGAAAAAATCATGGGTTGCATGTAACTGCGACTGTGCCGCACGAATTAGTAGCAACAGAAGCCGCGCAACAGCAACAGCAGCAACACCAACAGCAACACCAACAACAACAGCAACAACAACAACATCAACATCAACAACAACAACAACAACAACAACAACAACAACAACAACAACAACAACAACAACAACAACAACAACAACAACAACAACAACAACAACAACCGAAACGCACCCGCGACGTGGGTTCCGTGCCCCACTGTATCTTCCAGCGTCGGCTCGTCGGTCCAGTTGATCCGCTCCACCACGTTGTCGAAGTCGTGCCCTCCTGCCTCAAGACCCGTGTCGAAGATCGCAACCCGGATGCCCTTTCCCGTGAAACCCTGATACGAGACGGTCACGGAAGTGATACGGGACGGTTAAGGAAGTGGCGCGTACAACCAGCCATCGGACGGACAGAGGGTGCACTCATGACCGTGTATGCCTGTAGTCTTTAGGTCATTAACCTCGCATCCCCGCAAAGACGGGACTGAGCACGGTTGGGAGTCGTGGAGTTGTTGCTTGCGAAAGGCCGGAGTTAGGCCAGTGGATAATACGCACGCCGCCCTGAGCCTGAGAAGTGGACTGTTTCCATACGGTCAAAGCACAGCCGAAATGCAATTTTGATTATCTCTTGTCTAGTACAGCAGTAGGAGGCCCGATGAGCGGCAGCTTGAATAGGGCAACTGCCGACATAGTGGCATCGAAATCTCTTGTCCCAATCTCAACATGTAGGCACATGAACCCGATAGACTATATCGTGCAGTGGTACTGCCCTGAATAGTGGCATGTTCTCCTAATACCCCAACATGCCACTATATCGGGCCACCTACTGTATCGGCATTGTACTGTACCACGATATAGTGGCCCGATATAGTGGCGGCTTGAATGGTGGAAATGCCGATATAGTGGCTTCAAAATCTCTTTTTTGGTCACAATCTCAACATTTACATGAACCCGATAGACTGTCGAATAGTGGCCTAACGGCCCTGAATAGTGGCATGTTCTCCTATTACCCCAACATGCCACCATTTCGGGCCACCTTCTGTAGAACATAGTCGCTTCGCGTTCTTGATGAATTGTGCCGATACATCCGGCGACCTTCAGGATCAGACCACTGCAACAAGGCTTCGGTTGACGTTCTTGATGACGTCACTGGGGGATGGGGGAAGGGGGCGAGGGAGATTCTCGACTCTGTTGCTTTTGCTGGCCCCAGACTCAGAAGCACATGACACGGGTTGATTTTCGTCAAACCAGAGTGTGTTACCGCCAAAAAGGGTGGGCTTCAGAAACGGCTTCTCCTCGGCTGCAGGATTACTATTTGTTATGAGTACAGTATCAAGTAATACTTGAGCTCGAATAGGTCGGATTGAGCTTCGGAAGTTGGTTTACGACCGTTTAAAACACAGCTCTTGCGCCTCGAAATTTCGAAATATTTTCCAAATTCCGACTTCGCAGACTTCCAAACTTGGAAGAAACTCGTTCCAGTTTTCAATTGTCCAACTTTTTTCTCGGCCGCAAATCGAGGTTCAATAGTCTAGAGACTTGGAAGTTGTATGGAAGGGAAAAGCTGCTGCTTAAAACTGCCCTGAGGGGGAGCGCGTTGACCCGCTTGCTCACGGTACGCTTAAAGGTGTAGATTCATGCCTACACTATAGGAAGAACAGGTGCTACAGATGTGAATAGCCTGCCGTCAATAAGTGTCGCCAGATTTCGAGCCACGGTATCTACGTGAACACGCACTCCATTATCGCTTCTGCTCACAGCAGCAACAGCCACCATACGTTCAACCCCCCACCCCAGATGTTCGAAACCACAGCATCCACGAACACACATGCTGCGATTGTTTCTGCTCACAGCAGCAGTCACAATACGTTCAATCCGCTACCCCAGATTTTGGAAACCGCAGCATCCGCGAACACACATTCCGAGATAGTTTCTGCTCAAGGCAGCATTCACCATACGGCCAATCCCCCACCGGAATTTCTCACGCAGATTCGCCGCCGAAACGTGTGAGGAGCTGGACAGAGGGGGGGGGCGATGACAAAGGCGCCTAAACTGCTGTACCAGGAGCAACAAAAGGCTTTGCAGTCCCCTCTGACCCCCCAACAGTTTTTCCCTGCTGCTTACACTACTGATGCTGCACCTCAGGCAATGATCGCACCTGACCGATGCTGGAAAAGAAAGGGTAGTCCTTTGAATGTACGAACAACTTTCCAAGCAAGAAAAACCTTCGGTAAACCTTCGGTCAACCTTCGGTAAACACTTGATATATCACCGATGCTGTAAAAAAGGGAAGTCCTTCTTGAAATTTACGTATATTTTCAAAAAAAAAACTTCGGTCAGCACTTGATGTGTCTTGTGTCGCCAACCCCTTTGGCAAGAAATGCCGAGGCAAGGAGGGGAAAGTCGTCCAGGGGGACGAGGAAGAGGGTGTGGCGACAAGAAAAGCCGCTCGCACGCACGCACGCACGCACGCACGCAGCTCTTCGTCCCCATTGTCGGTAGACACGTGCTCACGTTTTTCATCCCGCTTATTATGTTGGACTGACACATATTTTCCCTGGTCACCCGGTTAGAGCGGTCGATTGTTGTCGTTGTTGTCCTACATTCAAAACCGTTCCGGTCTCCGCTCAGTGCCGTCCAATATCGATGCCAACTAAAAGCTAAACGCAACACACACAAGCCTGGCGCATTTTCATTGATCAGCCGTGTAGCGCGGTCGATACTGAAGGTAAACAAAACACACGCACACACTATGACGCCCCCTTACGGGGTCCCAGATCATGGCCTTCAGAAGCATTTTACGTTTTCAACCGCACTGCGACTGACGCTTGGCCAGCCGGATAGCGCGGTCGATGAGAATAAAAGAAGACGTGTACACTATCCCAGATCATGGGCTTCAAACGCATGTTGCGTTTTCGAACGCACTGCGACTGACGTCTTTACATTGGTCAGCCGGTTAGCGCAGTCGGTGCTAAGAGAAATAATAAATAACAATAACAACAACAGTTCACATACACCTACGTGGTCATGAAGCGGCTTCCCGTGCTCGCCAGCGTCCACGAACTCCCCCCGCGAAGATCCCCTCAGCCTCCCCCCCTCCCCCGCCGCCGCCGCTAGCGTTGAGCCCCCGTCGAGCTGTCGCCGGCCCCCTCTCTCGCCCTCAGCGCCCGGCCACCGTTGCCACCGCCGTTTCGCATCAGCGGTTCCTCCAGCGGTCATGGCGATGTGTCCGTCCGCCCCAACTTCCCCGCCAAAGTCGGTGATTGCGTCCCCGCTGTTGGGCTCTCCCGGCCCACCGCCCTCGTACGAGTGTAAGGAGGGGCTGGAACGGTCGCCATGCCCTTCAGTGCCGGCCCTTGGGTCCGACGGAGAATGGGGAGTTATCTTGCTTTCGTTGTCCATGTCCCCGCCGTCGCGAGCCGAGGGGCTCGAGAAGAGTTGCTCTCTCGGAGGGTCGACGTCTGGGGCAGCCAAGACCCCCCGCATGAGAGCCTGCCACAGGGGGGAGTGTTCGTTATACGGATGTTACAAAAACAGGTCAACAAGTCGTTCGTCGTGAACTCTATTGCATATTCCGCGCGCTTTACGGGAAATACCCATGGTGAAAATCGGGCACGACTTTTCTGTTAAGCCTCTTGAGGATCATAGGGGCGAGGTGTACGCGGCTGGGTAAAGTTGTGGTTGCCTATCTACGCCGCTTGACCGCACTGTGCTTCCATCTATGCACACGATGATGCAGCCAATATTCTACAGCCTCGAGTGTTCCCGCGCTCACCCGAACAACTGCAATCCGCACACCATTTTCCACCGAAGCACAGAAAAGTTTCGCCCAAAAACAGTCGAAAAGACAACACACGTCGCGTTTTTCCCGTCTGTCATACACACTACGCCCCAGCGACACAAAACAGAGTACGCCAAACCAGCTCGAAAAGACACGGCACTTCGTATTTTTGCATCTATCATGCACAAAACGTTCCCCGGGCAAGTGGACCGTGCAGAGTTCGAAAGTACCAAAGCCTAGGCTCAAAATACGCCACCTATTAGTGGAACAATAGCGCACCTCGTGACTTTCCATCTCCCATGCACAGACACTTGCCACACGGAAAAACCGGACAAGCCTACCCGTAAGTATACGGAAACCCAGGTGCGGTACGGTACCTTTTCTCGGAAGACGCCTTTTACCCAACGGTGAGCCCGGAGAGCCCCTACCGCCTCGTCCGCCGCTGCCCGCACGCACGGAACCCCCCTGTCCCTCCCCTCCTCGCACGCGTTCCCACGGATACCTGCCGCTGGATCTCTCACTCTCGCACCGGGACAGGCGTCTCGATTTCCTCCATCCCGGCCCCCTCCCACCCGACATTGTGCCTGCTCCCCCTCATGCTCGGGTCGTTCAGGATTGTCCCCTAGAGGTGAGGTTCGGCCGTTTTTGGAGAGGTGGGCGTCGTCCACGTCAGAGGCTTCTGTCGCCTGATGCCGCAAACGGACCAGGGAGAAGTCGCTCGGGAATTTTCCGCTAGAGGTGGCCAGGTTAGCCCTCTCCACCAACTCCCAGCAGCACCCGCAGTAACTAGAGTCGCCCTTCGAGCCGCACCCGCCGCCGTTGTCAACCTCATCATTGCCGTCGCCGATACTCCCGCTTCGCTCGTCTTCTTCGTGGCCGCTCCTGGTGCTGGTGCTGGTGCTGCTGGCATCGACGCTGTCACGCGCTCGAGCGTCGCTGCTACCATGGACGCCAGAGGCTTCGCAGCCTCCCGAGCAGCAACGGTCGAACCCACCCAACGCTCCCGAGAGAAGGCTGCTGTGGTCCTCCAGGGGGTGGAAGTCCGTCCACTGCACGACGTACTGCGCGAGCACCTCGCCCCCCGACCCACTTGTGGACGCGGGGATCTCTGGTAATGAGTGCGTTTCGCTAGCTCCCGCGTCACGCCGCCTTTGTCGAAGCCACGACTGCTGCTGCTGCTGTTGTCGCTGCTGTTGATGCTGGCGGGTTGGTTCGTTGTCGCGCTTCTTCTCCCCGTTCTGCCCGGTATCGACAGGAGACCCCAACACCACTTTTACCCCGGAGAGGGTTGTGTCCTTGGAAGTTCCTTGTGGGTGCCCCACTTCACAGCTGTCTGCCCGGTCGTTCATCCCAGCACCCGCGGCCGTTGCCGCCGCCACCGCTGGAACCCCAACGCGCTCGACCTCATGCCCCGATGATGTCTCTGATTGGAGACCTCTACCTCGCTCTTGACCTCCCGAAAGTGAGAGTTCCGCACCGCGGCCACCACCACCAACGGCCATACACCCATCACCAACACGAGCACCCCCCTCCCAATCAGCGGCACCAGCAGCGCCGTCGTTACCGCCACAGCCCCCCCGCGGTTGCTTGATGACCTCCCCCCGCCCACCTCCTCCCAAGCAATTATCGCGCGAGGGTCGCTCCGTGGCGGACAGCTCCTCGGACATCCCCGCCGCCATCGCCGCCTCCTCCGCCTCCGCCGTCGCACCGCCGTCTACAGCAAAGGGCGACGTTTCGGCGCAGCTTCTTCGCGGCGGCGGCGGCGGCGGTGACACTGCTGCCGTTCCCATGGCCGTTGGCGCAAGTTCAGGTTCTTCTTCCGCAAATCCCCCCAGCAGTGGCGGCGTCGCGAACACGGCATCGGAGGCTCTTGGCAACGACGGCAGCGCCGCCAAGGCCGACAGCACCAGGGCCGCGCGCCAACCGTGATGGCTTCTGGAGCGCGGTGTCCTTGGCATTCTTTTCCCTTTCCCTGGCGTTTTTTCACCACGGGTATCTTGGGAAGGAGGGGGCACGGCGGAATGGGAATGAAGCGTGGTGGTGGTCGGGGGAGGGGGCTGTTACTATGGTATGCATACGGCTTGACAAAGTTGTACATGTGGCAGTGACATGCTCCGCTGTACGATGGCACGGCTTGGCAACGTTGCAGCAATACAGTGGCGGGCCCTCGATGGTGCCGGTGCCCGGTAGTGCCGGCACAATCTCGGGACACACCTCGGCACAATATAGGGGCCCCCGCTGTACGTCCCGCTGCAGCGGAGGCGCTGCCTAGCGCAAACCACCGATGCGTTCCCAGCAGTTGTACTAGAATAATTTTGCAACCACCTGACCGTCACAGCGGAAAGGGTGTCTCTTGCAGGCCACGTTCGCTGCTGTTGCCTACACGGGCTCTTTTGAAGCAACATTGGTGGGTCGCTCTATTGTACCACCTGGGCTTTCTACAATCGAATGGACTGGAGGTATAATTCCAGAAAAGCGGCTGGGGGAACCAAATAAGGACCCTACGGTAGCTACGGGCAGGTGCACCAGGCACACAGACATCCAGCTTTCCGCCGGGGAACCAGAAACCAGAAGGAGAAAACCCCCCGCTCCCAGGGCGACTCTGCGTTATCATAGTCAATGGAGTAATAGCTGAACCACGCCTCTCTTATGGCTATCTTCGAAGTGGAGAGTTCTGCCCGCGGGTAGAAGAATCTGCACCTGCGCGTGTGCCATGGGGTACAGGAAGATCGAATGCGCGCTGCTTTCATGCTATAAACTACATCCACTGGATGCATACCCTGCTGCCGAAGTTGCAACTGTGCATATGCAGCTCTCGAAAACAGACCATACTGCGGCAGTACTGGGGCAGGGTCGCTTCAGATGAGGCAGCCAAGATCATACCGCGTGGTGGTGTCCAGCAAACCCAGGTACATGTTGTTGCCGATGTCTGCTACTTTCCCTTGTGGTGCTCGCCTGGACTCTCTCCTGCTCTGGTTGTTGTCCTGGCTGCCGCTCCCAAAAAAAATAACGTGGCGGTCTAGAGAGTGAGTCCTTCCCTCAGACAAAGTTGGCGTCTCAGGCGGATGAGCCTGTTCCCCTGATCTGGTTCCGTCCAGCCACCCCCCCTCTCTGTGTGACACTCCACACCGCCCCTAGATCCGTTTAACAGCCTTCGCCCCCCCCGCGCGGGCTGATTACAGGTACCCGAACCGGCGCGTGTTCGTGACAGAACCTGCGAGAATGTCCCGCGTCCCGCAGCAGCGGGCAATGCGCAGGTCTCACCATCTTCTCTTGCTTGCTGCTGTAATCACGCATACGCCCGGTGTTAAGATGTACAGCATATCCACTATGCTACAAGCAAGCGTTAACTTGCGGCATAGTGGATATGCTGTGCAGGTGTATGTTGTTTCACGGATTCTTCGGCGTGTCTTTCACGGGTAGGAGGTGGTGACCTTGAGTCGGTTCGATTGCTTCCTGCGGTATAGTCTATACAGGAATTATACAGATTGTCCAAACTATCGCCGTTCGTTGGTAACTCACTTACGTTTGACGCTACAGCAGGCCGCGTTTCGGTCGAGTTCTGGGGGCGGATAATCTGATCTACATATACCGGCTGGCTTGTGCTCTCTCTGCTACCGGTCTTGTTCTTTCTCGCATTTGCTCTAGATATGATTGTCCACAAAAAATCGTGAGCCCGTGGTCTCAAAACCCGGCACATACGACGCCGCGGGGAGACAAAACAAGAATAGTCTAGGGTACCAACCACTCGGAAAATAAAACAAAACTGCTTATAAGCTAGAACAACCTCTCATTCCTCTCTTTCCACATACTTTTCTTCTCTTTTTCTCTTTTTCTCTTCTCTCGTTTTCTGTGCCAGATGGCCTTGTCTTTGCTTGCTGCGTTGTGAAGTACCAAGATTGAACCAAGGGGGTGTACCTCATTCTCTCCGGCCCGTGATGGTGACTCCTAGTCTCAGTTGTTACCTCGCATAGCGCGCAGAGGGAGTGGAGGACTCCAGAATATCTGTCGTTGATTTCGATTGACTTGCGGACCCCTCGGGGCAATTTTATTTGAGTGTTCCTTTTTAGGGTAAGTTAGCCTGCGACCACGGGAATCGACTGCGTCGAGTGTTGGATCAGAACGGACATACGAAGGTACTGGGTGGAGAGAGAGATCGGAGCGGTTTTTAATGTGAAGACAACAACAACAACAACAACAACAACAAGAAAACACTTGTGAAATGGCAGCGCGACCAGCGATGGAACCGCCGCCCAAGCCTCCGAGGCGNAACGGACATACGAAGGTACTGGGTGGAGAGAGAGATCGGAGCGGTTTTTAATGTGAAGACAACAACAACAACAACAACAACAACAAGAAAACACTTGTGAAATGGCAGCGCGACCAGCGATGGAACCGCCGCCCAAGCCTCCGAGGCGCGAAAGCGTCAGCACTACGCTCGGCCAGGACACGTGTCCTTTGACGAGCGCAGCTCTAAACTTACCACCTTAGCGGTGGAAAGCTTTGGCCGCCTTGGAGAGGAGGGTGACGAATTCATCGACGAACTAGCGACGCACGCTGCAGGAGGGAGGCATGGAGAAACGATGACCCAGAAAGGAATCTACAAGGAGAGGCTACTTCAGGTCGTTTCGGTGGCTACGCAGGTGGCCATATCAAGGAGGGTACAAAGATACAAGCTCGCACTACGTGGACGACAAGAAGCGGAGGACCANCACGTGTCCTTTGACGAGCGCAGCTCTAAACTTACCACCTTAGCGGTGGAAAGCTTTGGCCGCCTTGGAGAGGAGGGTGACGAATTCATCGACGAACTAGCGACGCACGCTGCAGGAGGGAGGCATGGAGAAACGATGACCCAGAAAGGAATCTACAAGGAGAGGCTACTTCAGGTCGTTTCGGTGGCTACGCAGGTGGCCATATCAAGGAGGGTACAAAGATACAAGCTCGCACTACGTGGACGACAAGAAGGGGAGGACCAGCGAAAAAGATCGACACCGAACACATCGACACCAATGATTTGGGGATGTAGTGTCGATGCACTGTAATAGTAGGAATGTAATGGAATATCTTATGAGCGTAGGCATAGTTGTTACAAAGCATTTGGTAGGTACATCACATTTACTAAAAGAAATGTCGTTTTAGTAGTAGATTATGTTCACAAGATTTCGGTTCAACGACAGGAAGTTCTTGTCAGAGTTTGGAGAAACAAGGTTTTGGCATTTTCACAAAGGAAGTAACAGGAGAACGAAGGAAACGTTGAATTCAATCAATAATGTTATGATTTCCTTCAGTTTTACGTTCGGCATTGGTAGGTACGTACTAACATGACGTGCATGTATACAATATCGTATTCGTACAAGTATGAGCATGAAGATAGAAATAGTAAGGGGTATACATTGAGTAAAACGTTTTAGGACTTTAGTGCTAACATCTTCAATTGTCGGAGGGCAATAATAATAATAGTAATAATAATAATAATAATAATAATAATAAAAATAATAATAAAACATACAAATGATGTAAATGCATGATAAAATGATACAATGATACAATGATACACTCTGTCTTTACTTATGGTCCGCGCTGCCTACAAATTAAGGGGAAAGGTAGCTATACCTTCTGCCGACACACGGGCGAGAGAAGCGACCATACCCACTGCATTTAACACACACCCACATGTCAGTGATGAAACCCCAACCACACGCCTCTATCGGCGGCCACGTCAGGAGGCAATGATGAGATAATGTTCTCCCGTGCCCTTCTCATATTTCACGATATGCCACACAACAAGGTAAATATGTTCTCCCGCGCCGCACAGCCCCCATACATCACACAAAAAATAAGTTGATGACGAAAATATACAACACCCGACAAACCGAGTTCCCCTAAATCTTCCGTCTACAACTTTCCAACATTACATACAGATAGATACACAAGATGGCTACCAAACTGCCTTGTTGAGCCTGTTACCCACAGGGGAGATATCGTTGTATGCTGTCTGGGGAACCATAGACATGCAGGTAGCCTTTCGCTCAAGCTATGGATTCATTGCTAATCTATCTTAATAGATAGAGATGGATTTGTTGTGTGATATTAGAGAAAAAAAAAAAAATGATAGAAAGAAAATAACAGGTACCGCACCGACCGTTCGAGAAAAGAGCCCTCGGAAACCGATCAAACATAAAACAAAAACAAAAATAAAGGAGGACGCTTCTCCCATACCCGCCTCAAGAAAAAATCAAAGGGTAACGTACCAGCACCAGGCACTACGCACCAGGGTATGGGAGTAACGGAGCAAACAGGACAAAGAGGCGGCAGATGGGCAGACAGCCAGATGTACAAAAAACAAAGGCAACAGCAAAAGCGAGATCAAGTTACCCAACACAGCAGAGTAGGCAGGGAGGACATGAAAAAAAGAAACACAGCACAGAGGCCGAAGGCAATACAAAGGCCATAGTCTACACAAAGGAGTATAGCATACAGCAGGGAGGGAAACAGGGCGCAACAACATCAACCGGGTACACAGTTCGCCACAAGTGCTGCCTCGGCCGCCCTACTCGCTTCTGCAGCAGTGCCCGGTCGCCGTTTCTTCCCCCCCACCGCCGCTTCCCCGACTCTCTCTTCGGTCCAGAGATGGCCGTACTCTCTGCTTCTGCTTCTCTCGCGCGCTGGCGCTTCGCGGACGCTTCCGGTCTGTATTTACCCAGTACAGCAGCTAGCGCCAGATAATCTCAAAATATAGAACTTTAGCGCCAAGTGCGAACTCTGTCAAGAACCCCTGGACAAAAACGAATTATATCGAGACCATTCGTAGCATGATCCTACAATTGGAAGTTGTAAGAACCCGCCTCGGCCAAAACTAGAGGTTCTTAAGCACGGGGGCTGACGCGCTAACTGTACGTGTTCGGTCTTTGTTGAACGGAACAAAACGAAGCGTCGATCGCCTCGCCTTCGAGTTCTTCCTCGAAGAATGAAAAAATAAACAACGGGATCGCTTTCCGCCCGCTGTTCCCCAGTTTGTTGAGTAGTTAGACTAGTTGCAGAGACTACGAGAAAGTACTAGTCCATATATTCCTCGTGCTGAAACACACCCTGCTCAGCTCAGAGCACGAGCAGTTTTCAGCAAACGTCCCATGCACATTGTCCGCTACTGTAGAAGCCGTTTTTTCTTTCGAGGAGATTCCCAATTTGAGCGCCGTCCCCCCGCAGAACACCTCTTCTGTATTGGCGGTCCTGCCAAGTCCTGCATCTTGTTTCTCCCTAAGTTACTGCTGTTTCCCCCTCTCTCGTCCGAGCAGTAATGAAAGGTTGTCTTACTCCGGTGAGGAGAGCCAACCCTACAGCACCTCGCAGAAATCTCACATGAACATGCCTCCACAACAATGACGCCGACAGATTTCTTCCCATTGCAAATGCCACCTCTCTCTGGCAAGTGGGCGCTCTTCTTTCCCCCATCTTCGAAAGAACGGAACGTAGGGTGGGTAGGGAAAATATACAAATTATCGGTAGCTCCTACAGCTCTTAACCCGACCAGAAGAAGGCTAAAGCTTTCTATGAGTAACCACTATGCTTAGCTTTCCATGTGTCCACCTCGCTCATTGTGTGCGCTGCCCTCGCTAATACTCCTGAAAGACTCTAGCATGAAGGCAGAGGTTCGACAGAGAGGTGGACAACGATCCTTCTCTTTCTTCTTTCTTGATGTACAAATAACAGCAAATCAATCTCTTCCACAGATAAAGAGTCCGATTCATCCCTTGTTCTCGATTCCGGGCCCTCTTGAAGCACATGCATGTACATCAAAGCACGTGATTCTGTTACCATACCCTAATACACGCTTAAGAAATTCGTAGATTTTGCAATAGTCAACGACTTGTTTGTCCACACCTCCAACAAATCTGCCTGCAACGAAGTTTCTTTCCAACTCCATTCAGTATCATCATACTTTCTACACCTCGAGGAAAGAGAACGATGCGAACCTTTGGCAGCGCACGCTTGCGTCGCAGGATCCTCTCTGGGTCTTTTCTATCGTGTCACAACCTCTCTGTGCACATAACTCTCTTCCAAATAGCAACCACAGATTATTTTTTCCCTCAGTACAACGACGAAGTCCCCAAAGTGGCAGACTTCCATTTTCTTGATCGATTTTGGAGAGATCATGACACAACTCTTCCAGTGATACTTTGGTTTCCATTGATGACTCAGTTTTCCTTTCGCCGGGCCTTGCCCTGGCTGTCTCCCGGCTCCCTCATCCCATCTCCTAGAAAACGTGACAACCCTAATTTAACTTCTGCGATACTCGTAGCAAGCCATATGGCTTGAAGACTGTGCGTCTGACTTCCACCCTCCTCCTCTCTGGACTATTTTCTCGTTCCCAAGCATTTACGCCAGCCACCCGAGTGGAACGCCCCGCAACCCCTATCGAGAGCAATGCCAGATTCTCGGGGTTTCACTCGGCTTGTCCACTATCCCCCTCAATGCTCGTCGGAAAGGTTGGTCGTATTGAAAAACCTTCGCATGTCGGCCGCTGCGATGTAGTCGTAACAGCGCATCATCGGGCAACGATGTATTACTCAGCCCATTGGCAGCCAATAGAGTTGGCAAACCACAATACAAGCTTGCATAGAGTCAACCTTGCCCCGCGCCAATGCGCCGCTCTGTCTTTACACCCAGAGGACTCTTTGTATGAACGCCTAGGTTCGACAAAGCTTAAGCCGCACATCTCGTTCTCTCGCTCGGGGGGTTCGTGCAGACGTCCCACGTTTACCGGCTCATACCGTACCCTAATATTTGGCGAATCAAAGGGGGTCTAAAAATAAAATGGTTTGTTTCGTCTACACCTTGAACAAACCCGCCATCTGCAGAGTTTGTTTGCTCCCATGGCCGAGTGCAGTGGGAGGCTTCCGCGTACCGCACCCGTGGTCTCGACCAAGACGGGCCGTCAAACGTGAACTACCTCAAGACCAGCTGGCATCTCCTCCCCCTCCAAGCGCACCCCGTGCTTCACGTTCAGCCGCTTCAGGCCCGTCGGCCATTCGATGTCGACGAGGATGTCGTAATGCACCGAGGCCTTCAGCAGCAGCGTCAGTTCCTCAAGGTTCGGCATCCATCTCCCCAGCCCGTTCAACGAGTGGTCGAAGCGGCGGTCTAGATGCAGCCGTCGTAGGGAGGACGGCCACCCCGTCGTGTCCAGCGCCTGGTTGAAATTTCTCCCGAACTTGACCTCCTCCAGGGATCCCGGCCACGCGACCCCTTCCAGAGTCCGGTTGAAGAAATGCCCGAAACGAATTCGCAGCAGAGGGGACGGCAGCTGGAGCCCAGCGATCTCCTGATTGAAGTTGCCCGCGAAGGTGAGCTGCTGCATGGAAGCCGGCCACATGGCTTCCCGGACGGGCTGGTTGAACTCATCCCCGAAGTCGAGCTGACGAACCGTTGCCGGCCACGCGACCAGCTCGATCGGGTGGTTGAAACATGCGCCGAACCTGAGCTGTTGCAATGACGCCGGCAAAGGCGTCTGATCCACGGCCTGGTTGAAGGTGCTCCCGAAGGTGAGCTGCTGCAGCGACGCCGGCCACGCGGCACCACCGATTGGCTGGTTGAATCGCAATCCGAAGGTGAGCTGTTGCAGAGAATCGGGCCACGAAACTCCCCTGATGGGCCGGTTGAATTCTTTGCCGAAAACGAGCCGCCGCAGTGACGCGGGCCAGCTGGCCGCTTCGATGGGCTTGTCGAAAGCTTCCCCGAACGTCAGCTCTCGCAGCGAGGCTGCCCACGTGGTTCCCTCGACCTCCTGGTTGAACAACGCTCCGAAGGTAAGCTTCTGAAGCGCCGCAGGCCAGGCGACCCCCCTGGTCGGCTGATCGAAGGAACGCCCGAACAGGAGCTCCTGCAACGACCCAGGAAACTCGACGGCTTCCACCGGCTGATCAAAATCGTCTCCGAAGGCAACCTCCCGGAGGGAGGCCGGCCACGCCACACCCTCGAGCGCTCGGTTAAAGCATTTCCCAAACTTGAGCGATCGGAGCGAGGAGGGCAGCGATGTGCCCTGCATCGGCTGGTCAAAGCAGTCACCAAAGACGAGCTGGCGTAAGGAGGGCGGCCATGCAACCCCCTGAAGGGGCTGGTTAAACCTTCGCCCGAAACTCAGGGTTCGAAGAGACGTCGGCCACACGGTTCCCGCTATCGACTGGTTGAAGCTGTATCCGAAGACAATCTGCTCCAGTGAGGCCGGGAACGACGCTCCCCTAATTTCCTGCCGGAAACAAGTCCCAAACGTGAGATGCCGCAGCTCTGGAGGCCACGACACCGCTTCCACCGGCTGGTTGAAAGCCCACCCGAAGTTGAGCCGCCGTAGCTCTGCAGGCCACGATACGGCTTCGATCGGCAGATTGAAGCCCCACCCGAAGGTGATCTCCCGCAACGACGCAGGAAACGACACCGCTTCCAGCGGTCGGTTGAACCGCCTCCCGAACGTCAGCTGCTGCAGCGACGTGGGCCACACAACGGCATCCAGAACAGCGTTCAAACTATCACTGAACGTGAACACCTGTGCGCTGGCCAGCGCGTAGATCGAGCTGCTCAGCCGGTCCGCGCTCGTCAGGTCCCAGCTTACCTCCCGAGCTCGGAGACGCGGCACCCGAGTGCCCTCCTCCGAGCCGTCGGAAGGGCTGTCGGCAGGGGCGAGCAGTCGCAGCGGGGTGCTCGTGTTAACCCGGAGGTGAAGGGCGGCCGCGTCCCGGCACGCCTCGCAGAGCTGCAAGGACGCCAGCTGGAGCTCCTTGGTGGAGGCGAACCAGTGCTTCTGCCCGCCGTCGCCGCAGGCCTGGTTGAGGACCACGATGACAACGTCGAGAAACCGGCTATTGGTGGGGGCGGCACCTGCTGCCGAAAAACCAGGGAGCACTGGGTGAATCAGCCTCAACAGGAGCTTACAGCGAAGATCGCTCGAAGCAAGCAAACATACTTGATACAGAGTATAGAAAATGGCACCGGCTGGTAGTGGTTCCTGCCGAAACCGAAGAGGACTGGGGTGCAAACCTCGACAGTAGTGTATAGTGTTCAACGCATGGTTGTCAAATGAAAGCAGACATGATGGGAATAAAGCATAGAGTTGGCATGGGCTGGTGGTGGTGGTGGTACCTGCCAAAGCCAAGAGGACCGGGTGAATCAACCTCAACAGTAGTGGTCTACAACGCAGACATTTCTAAGTGAAGCGACATGCTGGGAAAAAGGTAAACAATCGGCAATGTTGCGGTTAGAGATAGAGTCTGCGTGCCCCCTGCCTGGTCTTTTTTCGTATTGAACATACTTTTAATCCGTAGTATGTCCAACCTCAAATATGTTTGATGCACGCGAGACAAAAATCCCAATAAGAGCGGAGGGCTCATGGCCGATGGCAGCGGTCCATCGTGGCAGTGCACGAGAAACCAGCCCTGGGCTGCTACTTCGTGACAGTATTCGGGTGCATTGGTGTACGAAAGCCCCGGTGTTAGGAGTTCACTAGAAGCCGTCAACAATGTATTTCATCGACACACACGTTGATGCGATGAGCATCGTATGTTCTTGGACAAGGTGTTGATCTGATCGCCTAACCAAGCAAACACTCGCTATTTGCCTGTTTGCTGGGTCATGCGTTGTTGTTAGTCACGGAACATCGGTGTTTTGTATGCGTCAAATTGAGTGTCGTGTGGGGCGGTCTTCTGCCGTGCACTTGGAGCTTTGACTGCTGCTGCTGCGCAATCCCAAATCTTCACGTATCATTTGGTGCTGAGATTCATCAACAACGAGACAATATTGTACCCGGCTTTACAGCGAAATCTCATAATTTTGACAGATCACACATCATCTATCGCAAGACAAGTTCCCAACCGCAACAGTGTGGGCCCATGGCAAGCGGTTATTAGTAGGTTCAGCTTGATGCGATATTGCCTCGAAAGATTCTGAAGCCTCGAATATCCAGAGGAGGGGTTGCCACTATTATAACGGGAGCATGGTGTCGTAGCTGTCAAGACCTAAACGATCCTGATGAGTACATCCCAACAGTGGAGTTTTGTTCGAGAAACTGCATCAGGCGAAGAACAAACGGCCATCATATTGGGTCTGCTGTCAGCCGAATGCGGTGACTCTGCCTGTTTCGGGTCTTCCCCATGCTGGAAGACGGAAACGACGTGTGGCCTCGTCTCGCGTGTGCTCACCGGATTTTGCTTCATGTATCTTCAAGCCAGCTAACTGCTCGGCAACCTCGGTAGCTTCCATGAGCGGGCGAATGGGTTTCTTTGTCTTCGTGTGGGATCTTATCCAACAACGGTTCAAAACGCCCGCCCTTTGTCCTGGTTGGACAGAAATCAAGCGGCGGACGGCGCGTAGCCAGTGGAAGGACGATTAGCCAGGGAAGTGGCAAGTCGAAGGCGAGAGGCACTTATAGACTGGACTAATGGCCATGCGCGTGAAGGGGTATTACATTTTTAGGAATAGGCTACTCCAGTGTTTCATCGGGGAAGACGCCGAGGGTGGCTCAATTATCTCCTCCGGGATTTTTATCTTTCAACACGTTGTCTTCGCATTTTCAGCACCACTTCTCGACTCGAGGATTTCGCGGGCCCGGGGCGACACGTGCAAATATCTTTTTGTATGGAAAATCACTGCTGCAGTGCTACTGTTCTTGACGAAATCCTGAGTTGTTTTCAAACGAAGCTCGTAACCTGCACTTGACCCAGCTCGTCACTTCTTGCTCACAGCGCTCTTGATCGAACGAAATGCATTCCCTAAACATGAGAACGGTCTACAAGGCACATGACGCCTCTTGACCAAACATGCTTGTGTGCTTCCTACTAGCGTCAAGTTGCAGGCGTCGCTTGTGAGGTGGCTCGTAACCGCTCGCTGAAACTAAATTCTATCCGCTCTAAGCAACTGGCGCGACATGGAGGTGGGTTTACAGTAGTTGAGCGTGCACGCAAGGAACAATAAACTAATTGCTTGAGATGCCTCGAAGCACCCGCTCGGTAAGGCTTGCTCGTCAGAAGCAACACCCCCTCTTCTTGGTGTGGCCAGAGGTACATTATTTACGTGGATTTCGAAGGAGGAGCGTCAGCCCGAAACGACGGAGGAGGCACCAGCCACTTCTCCGTCGATTCAGCACTGTTCTACGAACCTCTACGTGCCGTTGCGGTCAATCACCAGTAAGGGGAGACGCCGGGCCCAAAGTGGTCTAGATAGTTTCTACAAAACCGGCCTACTCGTATGCATAAGATATGCCTTCCTACCTCAACCGCATAGACCAAGCTACTTATGGTACGTACTGTAGCGGGTGAGAAACTTTCACCATTCGTTTTTTATTTTTGCGGCTGGAACCTGCGTTGTAGAGTAGTGTCTTCGAGGGCTTCTTGTGAGCGAGTGGGCCGGCCCCCTCGTCCTGATCTCCACACACGGCAGTTCGGGAGAGATTGAAAAATATTTGTCTGTAGGACGCGTTGAAAAGGCGCCCACCTGGACTAGGGAAAACGCTTAACTATACTACTAAAGCTACGCTGAGGCCTGTTAGCTGGCTAGCACTCAGAGTGTACACTCTCTACTTGTATTATTTACCCTTTTTGCTTCTATTCGCTACAAGACTGCAGTAGTAGAGTTTACATGTACGCATACAAGCAGGCCTCATTTCGCATTCAATTGCATCAGAGAGCCGATCGATGATGATGACTCACACTGAGGCAACGGTGGACTAGATAAGGCGCTCACCACAACAGAATCCTACATTCAGTTGGCTACCCATAACTGATTCCCCTTCTGGAACAGTACAGACTGCCTGGGAGGATGCTATGCGTCCCATATACGCACGCATTGAATGGTGGCACCCGACCTCCTCGGGCCAATGTCTCAACACAACCCTAACCTCAACCCGCAACAGATAGTTCGTACATAGAGTCCGACAGCGGCGCGACAGGGACTACTTTAGTGTTGCAGCATCACCTTCTTTCTCCTTTTGCCAGCTGTGTTAGGCTTTCTCTATCTCGTTCTCCCGCCGTGCGTGTGGTTGGGTTGTATGAGAGAATGGGCCAGCCAGTACACATGCTTGGTTTGGTTTAGCAGGAGGCCCCGAAGCCCGGAACTAGGACCCAGGAACGGCGTTTTACGCGGCGTAACTTGTGCAGAGAATTGCGCCGCATCTTCTGGCGACGGCCGTGGGCCGTGGGCCGTGGGCCTCTGGCGGTGGGGAGCCAAAGCAAGGGCGGGCGACAGGCGGAATTGCTTGTCTGGCTGATCGGCCATGCAAGGCGTACAACGAATGTGTAGCTACAGCAGTTCTCTAATAGCAGCATACGACTAACATTTATTCTGCCGAGTGCCGAGTGCGTACCGCAGGTTGCCTAAGATACCACGCCCCCTGGACCGACCTCTAAAGCTCGATCACTCCGTGGACAAGAAGATGCCACAACCAAAGGATACACTCTCGGAAGGACTACCACGACAAAATCCCAACCCCCCCTTTTCGGCACCGTCGCTGTTGTTGCTGCAGAGTAATCGAGCTCTATTAGGTGAATGTCGGTCCAGGGGGGTGTGGTATCGTACGCAACCTACTCTCTACCTTACGGTGTACGGGCCTGCAGATAAGAAACGTCAAACTCGGGTCGAGCCTCAATCCCTTATTTTGGTTCCAAGCACCAGCAGAACTCTTCCGATTTCTTCAAGGGGATTTCTTATTCCTTTCGAACGTCGCATCCTCCCAATCCTCTCACTTGTCACGTCGTTTCGTTTCTTGTTGGGCTAAATAATACTTCTACAACACAATACAATTGGAAGATCTGTGTGGGCATTGGTTGGTGTGGCGAAATGAGCACTATCTCTCCCCCCTACCAAACATATGCACTGCTCAGCTAGGTAGGGGGATGGGAACACGGAGGGAGCAGCAGTGGGACGCTTCTTCTTGGGCACGCTCCTCCAGCTACCCCTTGTGTCATATGTCTTGGGGTATTGCACCACCATGTTTCTGTTGGGACGTTCCTTATTATGTGGCCGAGATTGAGCTGTGGTTCTTACAGCCCTTTTTTCTTGTTTTCCGTAAAAATTTGAGCCCATTTTTCTTGACAGAGTGTTTCTTAACTGCGGGCCTGTTCTGCATAGGTTGCGTAGGACATCACACCACCTGGGGCCGATTACCAAAAATCTCGATCACTCCACGACAAAGAGGATGCCGAAGTTGAAGTGCACACAAATATTCGGAAAGCTCTCGATAAGACAACGCCGCCATATTTTCGGCACCGTCACTTCTCGTTCTGCCGAGTATTAGAGGTTCGTGGAAATCAGTCCGGGGGTGTGATATCTTGTACAACCTACGGCGTAATCATCACAACAAAGCTGTTAGCGCCTACACTAGGGAGAGCACATGCTGCCTATAGCGTGAGTACAGTGTAGTGTTCGTGCGCTGATGACCTTGTAGATTTGGCAGCATTCCCAGACAGACGTCATCGGCTCAGACAAGCAACCCGAAAACGTGGCCTGGCCTGGGTGAAGGCTCCGCCTTCTCTCCGCACAGGTCAGCAGACATACCGTAAGATTGCGAGTCAGCGCACAGGGGTGCGAACGATTTTTAAAGCGTATATTCTCCACAAACAGGAGTTTACCACTGCCCATATTTACTACAGTTATGACAACGGCGACGAACAAAGGAGCAGCGTTCAGCTTGTCCGTGGTTTTTGAAAACAAGTACCGACCAGGTTCGTTCGAACAATGGAAGGCTCCCGACGCCTTGCAAAATAGGTACACCGGGATACGCGTCACGTCTGACTAAAGGTGGTCATTCCCGTGATTCTTCCTACAGCAGACCCATACTCCCGGTCAGTTGGGGTGATTGAAGGAAGAACACCGAAACCACATAGATAATTCGAGGGCCTTAGAACAAGCGAGGCGGGCGCCCCATGCGAATGGCCTCAGTGTCAGGGAGAGTCCAGTTTGCTTCAGGTTTGCATTCTTTCTTTGTGGAGAGCATGCTCGAAACAGAGCATCAACATGTCTTGACCAAACTCAACCGCTATCTGAAGCAGCTATGCGTACAAATATTATGTGCATGGCTTTTGTACGTCGTCGAACGATTGGTGAGCCTGAGCCAACCAGCCAATCTTCCGTACGTATCATAGGACGCCTGTTTGGGAAACCTCTTCAAAGCTTAGAACAACGGTAGGCGGGATGTTCCCGGCATCCAATTTGTCTGAAAATGGAGCAACACAGAGGAAACGGCCGGCGACCTCGAAACACGATAAAAGAAAACGGTGATACCACTAAAAACCTTTTCGCTACGGAACGGATGTAGGCGGCGTTACAGCAAGAGCGAACACAACACCAGTGACCAAAAGAACCCAAAAAAACCCATTAAAGCCTCCCCCCGCGGATAAGACAAAAAATTCAAATCTCCACCAACCTCTTAGAGTTGTCTGAACATCTACAACGTGATATTGTGGGAAACATTACACCGGGCGAAACAAAACCAAGGAAACCATAATATAGTAGCCCCCCCCCAGCGGATAAGACTACAACAAAAAAACTGCAGGGAAGAGGAAGCCACCGATTTCTTTGACTGTACATTCACGATGTGATCTACATTGCACGGGACGTTGCCCCAATCCACCCGGAAAAAAACAAAAAAAATACCAACAACGCCACAAGAGCACGCGGTACCGCAACAAACACACGTGACTGGACGGTACACAAGCCCGGCATCGTACACTTGACGCCCCCAACGACTGAATGGACACGAACACTAAATGTTCGTGTCTGCGTTCCACTGTCGTACCCCCCCCCCCCCCCCCCCCCCCC